GCTGAGTGGCGCGGGCGTCCGGTGCGGGGGAGGGCGGCCCAGTGGCAGAGGCTGCGGACAGCGCGGGGTGGCACGTGAGACAGAAAGCGCGGCGGCAGAGCGCTCGAGAGTAATCGACCGGGAGGTTCTCGAACTCGCCGGTGGCGGGATTTTCTACACTATTTACTGAGATCTGTCGAATTCAGCTGCTGTCTAGAGGAGAACTCTAGCGGTCGGCTGTTCTGATTGGTAATATTATGTGGATTCTCCGACCAACACCAGACGAAAGCCGGAGCAGAACCGTAGAAAAACGGACCACGGACCGCACGCGATCTTTCCTTCCCTTTTCTTGTCCTATCCTCACCCATTACAGTGCCACCCTTTCCGGGAGACCACCCGGGAGCTTAGAGCTGAGACCTCCCGGCTGGGGCGGCCCCCGCTGGTGGGAGATATCTGCTTGCAGGAAACTTCGCAAGCCGACAGGTAGGCCGGCGTCGGGTCTTCACATGCTGCGAAGGAAGATCACCGCCACCGCCAGATATGAAACATGCACTACACTTACGGGACTAGTGACCTTCGAAACTGACGCGTCCGGAATCGCTAAGGAGTTGGAGTCGGTTTTGAAATCAATCGTCTACGACTCCACAAGAAACACTACACGCGCTGTAACCGATTGTGAAGCGACTCGGGGACGTGGAGCGAGAGTACGCTTCCGCCACCATCGCTGGAGGCGTGCGTGCTCTTAGGATGCCTGTAATTGACTCAGAAGGTGGAAAATGTGCTGTCTAAACCACAACATCGCAAATTGAGTATGGGCGGGAATCAAGTTTCCGTCTCAGCGGGCACACTGCAGGAGGCGCCCAAGAAATTCAAGTAAGAGGGCTAGCAAGCGATGTAATTAGTACTAGGTTTGAGTCGCGACATTGGCGAATTTTCCTGTGGACTAGTTGGATCGGAGCCGTACCCAGACCATGACAATTCTAGTACCTTTGATTGCTTGGTTTCGTAGTTTCTATGATCAATTTCAGGTGAATGCGGGACCAAACAATGGGCTGCGGAGCGAGAACTATCCTTCCATTCTCTGCCCATTTTCAGGGGCTGGTGGGAGGATGTTTATCGGGGCTAGGATTTAAATGTAATAACATGTATATGTGCGTATATGGATTTTAATTGTTCAAAATATAGAGTAAAACATGCACTAACAGTTCAATAAAAATATTAAAATAGAAAGAACTAGTGGTGTTACAGAATGTCTTAAACTATCTCCTGCTAGTTAGATTTCTAATCTCTCTTTAGTTGAAGACAGAATTTCAGTATTACACCATGCCTCTTCCCAGTTGCTACATGTCACCGCCCAAAGGACAATTTTTCACATTTTTATTTCGTTCGATTCCTCAATAATGGAATTAAAATAATATTTTAACGCCAAAAGGATTTTTTGATTTTCTAAAGTTCATACAGTTCAACGAAAATCGGATAAGCCCCATTTTTAGAAGGTAATGAGTTATATTAATTCGCATGACGACCAAAATTCCCTTGTCTTCTTGGTATACGTTACGATATTTTGTATAAAATTACGATAATGTTTGTAAACATAACGAGATTTTATGAATGTTTTGTAAAGAAATAAATAAATATTTTTATACCAATTGACTCAATTGGTTTGGATATTTCAAAGCCCCATAAAATGCAAAATTCTGCTCTCGAAATAGAATTGCAGTTTAAATTTTAGTTTTAATCAATACCAAAATTTCGTTTAACATGAAACATTGGTATCAAATATTATTCACGTCAATATCAAAGTTATGACAACATTAATCTGAAATTCACTCGATATGTTCTGCAGAGTTGAACTAGTGGTACTATAACAGCACTTTCTATCTTGCATTATTTCTAAATTTGTAATTTTGAAAATTCAGAGTTCAACGAAAATGAGACCCTAGATTTTCGTTTCAGCGTACCGTCTTAAATCCATGAAAAAAAATTTAAGTGTGGAGCAATTTTGAAAAAATGTTTTATATAAAATGCATTAATTTCAAGCACAAATTACGCAAAAACTTCTTGTTTCTTAAAAAACTGTAATATTTTTTAAAGAGACGTTTTTTACAGACTGTGTCTAAGGAAAAAATTTCCATCTTGAATTTTATAGTTTCAAAATGTTAACTTTTTGAAATTTCCGAAAATACGGAGAGTT